TTTTTTTATATAGGTGCCTTCTGTTTCTCCAATTCGTCTCAGCACCACAACATTTGGAGCATTCATTCCTCAAGTATGAACATTTTGCTATTTTATTCAAATAATTCCACACAGAACACAAAATATAAACTTAACAGTGAAGATGACTAAGAGCTACTTGTTCATATTCTTTGTATGAAAGAAACAATGCACCAATTGCAATAACCTAATTTTTTATTATTTTTTCTTTCTTTCAGATTTCTCAAACACACCCTGATCTGAAGTTGGAGCTGAAGGTAAAGACAGTGAAGGAGCCTATCATTCAATTTGAACCAAATCATGTGATTCTTCAGCTCCTCAGTACAGTGACAGCTTATGCTGTCCAATCTGACAACACACCGTCACTGACTCAACTCTTTGTCCTCAATCTGGTGAGGGACAGCTGAGGTGCATTTATACAGTTGAGGTCAAGTTTGCATACCCCATTTACACACACCCACTATATATACATATATATATTACAGTAATTTTGGAAAATTAGACAAATCATCTTCAAACGTGTTTATCTTCTTGGTTCTTAATATAGCGTGTTGTCTTATTGAGCATCAATGGACGTTTGCTGCCAGTGAATGTTTGTAATAATCACATATTACTCCTTCAATTGTTATTAGTGTTAGAGCTGAATCTGAAAATCATATATAGCCACTGCTGGGAAGAATGAACTTTCTTATTAACTAGGGATGTAACGATTAACCGCGAGCCGGTTGAAAATCGATTTAAATATGTGACGATTCAAATCGGTTGAGATGCTAAACAAATCGCGATTCAGTTAGGGGCAGGAGTTTATATGAATGTATGTCTGAGAGGAACTTACTGTCTTTCGATGGTATTTTTTCTTTTCATCTTGCTTCTGTATAATGCATATTAAAGTTCATAAGTGCAGCGCTGCTTTGTTTACAGCGATAACCAAGGAAATGATTTAAGCGCCACCTACTGGCAGAGAGTGCATCTGCGTCTCATTCAGCTCGTCTGCTGTTTCGGTTTCATGCAGATATCTTTTATGCATAGTTTCACAAAACTGAAGCTTCAAATTTCGAAATTATACAGTGTAATTTAGATTAAAAAACTGCTCATGTTGCATGTATGCAGCATCT